TGTTTTTTTTAAAGCGCAGTAGTTACTGATTGCTTAGGAGAGAAAAAATCAGATGTAAGTGTTTGCAGTATTAAAGGCCAATCCGAAAAGATTTACATTTCATAAATTGATCTTTATTACAAGTAATCATCCAAATGATCTAGCGAGATCAGAATGTAAAAGACATTCTAGTTGGTAAATATTAACTTCTTAAGTGTTCTGCAAGTTTAAATTATTCTTCTTTAGGAAGAACTTATGCAGCATTGAAACATTTCAATTCAAACAGAAACATTATGAAGTAGGAACAAAGTGAGAGCCAAGGCTTCTGCCATCCCAGTGGGAAATACTGTAAACAAATGTTGAGAAAATTAAAATAATGAAATGAAAATATACTGCTCGGAGCTTAACACTAAGCAGGTGCAGAAAGTGAGTGAAAGGAGAACTTTAAACCCTAATATTCTATTTATTGCTAGTAAAGAATTTCAAAGCACTATTAGTTGATTGAACAAAACATATGACTAGTGGTAATAATTACAGAGATTTTCCCCACACACTACAATTTTGCTGAATTTCTAAAGAGGAAAATCAAAGCTATTTTTGTTAATAGATGGGAAAAATCATATAATGATTTCCATATTTTGTCACAAGTGAACTGAAATCAAGTAGTCCTCACTACTCTCAAAATAATAATTGTCCTAGACAGAAATATAAGTTATGAAGCTTGTTTTTCACATCAGGTTTCCCTGGCCAGAATGGCTCAGCTGGTTGAGCACTGTCCTGGGCTCCAAGCAAACCAGATCGGAGCGCACACCCAGGTGCTTGCAGGTGGCGACCAAAGGATGTTTCTCTCTCACACTGTTATTTCTCTCTCTCCCTCTCTCTTCTTCTAAAGGGGAGAAAATAGGGGACATCTGTAATACTCTTAACAATAAAATAAATGAAAAAATAAAGTGTTTAAAAGTATATATAAAATAAAGAGAACTCGAAGTGTGAGGTGAAATAGAGCAAACATCCTCTCAACTATTCAACAGAACTCACAAAAAAGAATAAAAATCCTCAGTTCCAAAGCCCACAGAGGCTGAAAACAGAGTGCGAAGCAGCTGCTAAAGGTCTGGCCTCGAAGTATCTGCCCATCTGAGATGGAGTTGTTAATGACCTTGAGATTGTGGTACTGAGACATGCACCTAAACCTGACTTAAGTGTGATTTATGAAAACATTTGCTTTCTAGAAAGCAAGATGACAGGAAAACTTGTCAAACTTGACCTGGGATCTTGATTAAAAATCAAACAACAACAGCCCTAACTGGTTTGGCTCAGTGGATGGAGGGTCGGCATGCGGACTGGAGGGTCCCGGGTTCAATTCCGATCAAGGGCATGTACCTTGGTTGCGGGCACATCCCTAATGGCAGGTGTGCAGGAGGTAGCTGATCAATGTTCCTCTCTCATTGTTGTTTCTAACTCTATCTCTCTCCTTTCCTCTCCGTAAAAAAAAAAAAAAAAAAAAAAAAAAAATCAATAAAATACATTAAAAAAAAAAGTCAAACAACAACAACAACAACAAAAAACTCCTAGAAAATTTTAACCAGCTCTGTTCACAGAGATTGGGATTTGAATTCACACTATCTGCCCAGGGCAGCAAATTCCAAAAAAAGAAATTAGTAAAAATGATCCTAGTCCACACCAACCCAGGATGCTGGAATGGGACAAAGAAAATCGCATCTGGGCCCTGGCTGGGCAGCTCAGTTGCCAAAGTTGTGAGTTTGATCCCTGGTCAGGACACATATAAGAATCAAACAATGAATGCATAAATAACTGGAGCAACAACAACAACAAAAGAGAATAAAAACATATTTGAAAAAATCAAGTTTCCCTGAATGAAGAATAAAATAAAAGGATTTCCATAACACTTTGACAATTGCCGAGAGCTCTGTAACTAACAACAACTAAAAACTACAAAGATTTTAAAAGAAAATTAAAAGATTCAGCTGGGTCTTTAAACACTTTTCTCAAAGACTACACATAAGCCTTTATTACGCTGAAAAAAAATATGTAAATTTTATGTGTTATAATGTAATGGCCAAACCTTTAGTAATAAACTCCACCATGATGAAAATCTTCATAATAAAGGGCTCCTTTGGGTTTATAGTTAGTTGATAATGACAAAATTCCAGTACATGAAAAGACTATATACAATTCCTTAGGATTCAGTCAATTAAATATTTACTGAGAACCTAACACGTGTGTAACAATGAGCTAGATACTGAGGGGTGGAATACAAAATAATAAAATGCAAAACAGGAAGAAATTTTGGACTCCAGAATTCCTAAATACAGCATATAAGAGTAATAAGAGTCTGCATACATTAGGAATATGTATGTGCCTGGTAGGGACTCCAATAAGCCATAGGTCCAGTCTCTTGCCTTTGGGAAGCTGTTTCCAATTCTAAATCCTCCAAAATGTATCATTAAAACAGCAGTTTCAACAATGAGCCTTTTCTGTAGTCCAAACACTAATTGATCCCTCACTTAGTACAATTAATCCTGTTTTTTCCATGGAGGTAATTGGTCAACCCTTTTTATATCATTAAACTTTTAAGGAACAATTAAGCTCTTTTACTGGTAAAAAGTATTCCAGTTATATCAGGTAAACATATTTGATTTATCTTTAAATTTTAAAAATATTGTTCACAGAAATATTTCTGTACATGAGAACATGGCCTGTATTCAAAGAAAACATTTATTTGAGGCAGAAAGGCCTTGAAGAATAAAAAATTGCAATAATAAGTTATGGTCTCTATCCCAAAATTCTATTCATAAAGAAACAAATTAGGCTGTCCCCAACACTGAAAGATGAATTTGAATAAGATAAAATTCAAAGGAAATATAATCCTAAAATAATTATAAGGTGATTTCTATAGAATAATGAGATTTAAAAGATATTGTAGCCAATAATTACCTGTTGGTTTTTCATAACCAGTCTAATATCAGATTGGGTAGTAATCTTACACTAAATGGTAACTATGGCTGATTTTGTTTTCACGTATACACACGCATCATGTTAGATTTTGGACAATTTAATATTTTCTAGTTAGAATTCCAATGGGATTATGAATAGCCACTCTGGCTGGTGCTCATTATTCTTACCAAGGCAAACCATTCTATATAATAAAATACTAATATGCAAATTGTCTCCTCTGGAGTTCCACAGACCAGGAATTTGACTACTTGCTATGACGTGCACCAACCACCAGGAGGGCAGCATGGAACAAAGGAAGGCCCCGGCTCACAGCCAGAAGGCCTGGATAGGCCTCAATTGCCGGTCAGGCCTAAGGATCCTATCCGTGCATGAATTTTGTGCACTGGTCCTCTAGTTCTAATAAATGCCTTCATAGAAAATGATCAAAAATATAGTTTTCACTAATGGGATTTTCAGGATAGGTCAAAGACTAGATTTTGATTTAAATAACAAATCACTATAAACTAACTTTATAGTCTTTAATCAAGGAGATACCAAATAGTAATAGTTTACTTCTCTAAGCACATGTTGACTCATCAATAATCAGCTCTTACCTTTTTTTCTCATTATCTCTACTGACTTGACCTGAGCACTGAAATTTGGATATAAATACTATAAACTGCTTCCATAGCTGCAAAATTCTAAGACTTGCTATATGATGTTAAAATATGATAAACCAAATGGTATGCTATGCCTTCCCATCCTATACTGATGTTATAATTTAATGTGAAGGTAGAACAGTCTGCATTATGCAAAGGCACTGAAGATACATGAAAAAAGCAAGAAAGCCAAGTTAATTAGGGAAAAAAGAAGCAGCATCTGATGATTCTATAACATTTTCTGGGGTCATACATCCCTTTGAGAATATGGTGAAATTTATAAATCTTCTCCTCAGAAAAATGATTCACCAATATGATAATACCACAGAATCTGTTTAAAAATTTCAGGAGCCACGAAAGCCCTAATTAAGGACTGGGACCCTGAACCAAAAACCTTTGGCCATCCTCTCTAATAAAGGAGTAATATGCAAATTGACTGTACCTCTGCTATATCCACAAGCCATGCCCACCAGCCAATCATGAGCGAATATGCAAATAAACCCAACCAAGAGGGCTGCAGCCACAGAGAGCAAGAGGAAGGCTTGAATTGCCCCAGGAGATGGAGGAAGCCAAGCTTTCCACCTGACCTGGCCAGCCCAGGCCTCCACTCAGGCTACAGTTTCAATTATAGAAGATAAATAAATCCCAGATACCAGGGCCTCCATTTGGGTCACCGGGGGGAATGGCTGGCCTGCAAACCACCCCAGGCCCCTCACCCAGACGACCCCATGCTCCAAGGGAACCTCCACCCTTATCCGGGACACCCTTCAGGGAAAACCAGCTGGCCCCCACACATGCACCAGGCCTCTATCCTATCTAATCAAAGAATATGCAAATTGACTGTCATTCCAACACACAATAGCTGCCCCCATGTGGTCAAAGATGACTGCCTCCATGTGGACACAAGATGGCCACCACAAGATGGCCAGTGGGGGAGGGCAGTTGGGAGGGACCAGGCCTGCAGGGGAGGGTAGTTAGGGGCAAACATACTGGCTGGGATCAGTTAGGCATCAATTAGGCTGGCAGGGGAGTGGTTAGGGCATGATCAGGCTGGCAGGCAGAAGCGGTTAGGGGCAATCAGGAAGTTAGGCAGGTGAGCTGTTGGGAGCCAGCAGTCCTAGATTGTGAGATGGATGTCTCAGATTGGAAAAGATGCAGGCTGGGCTGAGAGACACCCCCACCCCCATCCCCTGTGCACAAATTTCATGCACTGGGCCTCTAGTATTAGATATAATTAGAAATAACAAAATTTAAGTGTGGCTTTTAAAACTTTATCCCATCGATTTTAACTATCTTGCCCTATGGTTCATACTAGTAATTAACCACTCATATAATTTTTTAGAGACATAACTTTAATTAAGGCCAATAAAGATGCTTTACTATAATTGTACTATAAAAAATACTTACCAACTTTTGCAAAGGCTTCTTTGAGTTCATCAAGCTCATCTTTGGAAATCTGAGTGGTAGCCATCTCATCTACTTAAAGAAATCCTAAAGAGAAACACAAAAAGTTTCAGACTTTAAAAACTTTGTGATAAATATATTATAAGTACTCTTGTGAAATTCTCATCTTTGGAATAATTTAAACAGAAAACCAATACCATCTGAATAGATTTCCACATTAGTAGCTATAGCTAAGCTGAAGAAAACAAACAAATGAGAAGTCATCATTTATCAAAAGTTACTAAAAAATATTTCCAAGTCTAATTTTCAAGGAAAAAAAATCTTACATTACATTCAGAGTATAAGGAAGAGCATAGGTGCCTGGCAATGGCAGGAAAGTGATGCATAATAAAAATTCTTAGTTATATGTGCCAAAACTAAAAGTCAAAATTACATGATCAAAGATTCATGGAAAATATAACTTTTCCAATAATCCATTTATTTTTAAATTTATCTTACTGTTTATTTCCATTTTCCAGCTTTATTGATATATAATTGGCATATAGTGAAATTTAAGGTATAGAACTTGGTAATTTGATATATGTATACATTGTGCAATGATTAGCACAGTAGGATTAGTTATCATGTCCTTCACTTTATATTACCATTTTTCCATCAAGCTACTTTAACACTGATGTTTAAATAGCACAAAATTACATTTGGTCTTGATATAGAAATACACAAGTATGTGCTAATAAACATATCTTTATGCACATATCATTTGAGTTTATACCCTTTCCGATTTGGCTTTATTTTGCATATTTCACCAATAGAGCAGGGGTTGGCAAACACTGGACTTTGGGCAAAATCTGGGCTGAGTATAGATAAACAAATATTTGCAGTCAATTTTGATGATAAGGCCCATTAACTTTGAACCCCAGTTAAGTGAAATGTTATCTCTCACAAATTCCATTCTTTTAACCAGTAGACCTGAATTACTTTTTGGAAAAAAAATTAAAAATATATTTTATTGATTTTAGAGAGGACAGGAGAGGAGGCCAGAGATAGAAACATCAATGATGAGAAAGAATCATTGATTGGCTGCCTCCTACTGGGGGATGGAGCCAGAAACCCAGGTATGTGCCCTTGGCCAGAATGGAACCTGGAACCCTTCAGTCCACAGGTCAACACTCTATCCATTGAGCTAAACCAGCTAGGGCCTGAATTACTTTAAAAAATGTACTCAATTATTATTATTATTATTATTATTTTTAAAAATATATTTTATTGATTTTGCACAGAGAGGAAAGGAGAGAGATAGAGAGTTAGAAACATCGATGAGAGAGAGAGTCATCGATCAGCTGCCTCTTGCACACCCCCTACTGAGGATATGCCCGCAATCAAGGTACATGCCCTTGACCGGAATCGAACCCGGGACCCTTCAGTCCCAAGCCGACGCTCTATTCATTGAGCCAAACTGGTTTCAGCTGTACTCAATTATTATTGTATTTTAGATTTCACCAGTAAAATTTTGTGTAAACAATGTTATATCCTTGATATCAAATAATATACTATTCTTGATTTTGCCTCTTGGCTCACAATATGTATGATCTGAACTTTTGCAGAAAAATTACAATACATAAAGGAGGTGTGTACCACAAGGTTAATCCCCAAATACAAACATATTAATAATTTTTAGAGACAAGGCAATGAAAACAATTGTGTGTCCCCCCCCCCTTAATCTTTTTAAGAACTTTACTTTTCAGAATAGCTTTAAGTTCACCGCAAAATTGAACAGTAACTAGAGTTTGATTCTTATGTAGCCCTTTTCCCTCACAAACAAGTCTCACCCATTATCAACAACCTGTACCAGACATTTGTTACAATCTACATTAACACATCATAATTACCCAAAGTCCATAGTTTACATTAGGCTCACTCTTGATGTTGTACAGTCTATGGGTTTTGACAAACACAACCTAATGATATACAGTATATCCACCAGTAAGATATCAAGTTTCATTGCTCTTTTCAAAAAAGTTATTCTATGTGTTAAATTTTACAAACTCTATAGTACAAAATATAAATTTGAGAACTTATATTTATCCATGTTAGTCATTTTTATTGAAAGTTTAAAAACTGAAACACAAAGTGGAGAAACCAAGATGGTGGCATAGATAAACTAAACTGCTGCCTTGCACAATAATTTCAAAACTACAACTAAAAGACAAAATGGACATCATCCAGAACCACAGGAAGGGTGGCTGAGTGGAAATTCTATATTAGAAGGAAAGAGAAAAGCACACTGAGACTCAGAGGAGCTGTAGGAGGCAGAGGTACTGAAAAGTGTATGTGGAAAGGCAACTGAATGCATGGCTGGCTTTCTCAAGAGGAAGGGAGACAAAAGCTCCCAACTGCACTGAACTCCAGTTCCAGGTGAGACTCTGGGGACCCAGACTCATTCAGGGAGAAACTGGACTGACTGGCAGCAAGTGGAACTCGAGGGTGGCTTTCTCTGAGAGGTGCCTGCAGCAATTACCAAAGGACACTGAGACACAGGAGCCTATTAGGGCAGGGCTGATGGGAAACCAATGCTGTCTGCTCCACCCTGAGACTCCGCTCCACCCAAGCTCAGCACAGAGGCTTTTGTAAGTCTTGTCTCATAAGGGTGTCCCCAGCGCAGAAGTTGTCTAGTGTAGACACAGCTGAACCTCACAGCCAATTGGCCTGGAGGTCAACTCCTCCCAGTGATACCAACAACAATCAAGGTTTAAATACAACAAGTCTGTGCACACAGCACACAAAGAGGTGCATCACGAGTGTCCAACTCAGGTAACTGAGGAGGCTGAGCCACTGGGCCCTATAAGACACCTAGCACACAAAGCCACTCTATCATCACAGGGAAGCAGCCAAAATGTGGAGACAAAGAAACAGATCACAAATGAAAGAAATGGAGGAAAGCAAACAACTGGATACAGAGTTTACAACCATGGTTATAAGGTTTTCCAAGAATTTTCTAGAAAAAGCCAATAGATTTAGCAAGACCCTTGAGGATATGAGAAAGGACCAACTAGAAATTAAGCATACACTGACTGAAATAAAAAATAATATACAGAAATGTAACAGCAGACTAGAGGATCACAAGAATCAAGTCAAATACTCAATAGGAAAAGCAAAAAGCAAAAAGAATCCAAAAATATGAAGATAGTGTAAGGAGACTCTGGAATAACCTCAAGTATACCAACATCAGAATTATGGGGGTGCCAGAAGAAGAGAGAGAACAAGATACTGAAAACCTATTTGAAGAAATAATGACAGAAAACTTCCCCCACCTGATGAAAGAAATAGACTTACAAGTCCAGGAAGTGCACAGAACCCCAAACAAAAGGAATCAAAAGAGGACCACACCAAGACATATCATAATTAAGATGCCAAGGGCAAAAGACAAGGAGAATATTAAAAGCAGCAAGAGCAAAACAGTTACCTACAAGGGAGAACCCATATGACTGCCAGCTGATTTCTCAACAGAAACTATGCAGGCCAGAAGGGAGTGGCAATAAATATCAAAGTGATGAATACCAAGAACCTACAACTAAGATTACTCTACCCAGCATAGTTATCATTCAGAATTGAAGGTCAGATAAAGAGCTTCACAGATAAGAAAAAGCTAAAGGAGTTTGTCACTGCCAAACCAGTATTATATGAAATGCTGAAAGGTATTCTTTAAGAAGAGGAAGAAGAAGAAAAAAGTAAAGATAAAAATTATGAACAACAAATGCATATCTATCAACAAGTGAATCTAAAATTAAGTGAAAAAAAATCTGAGAAACAGAATAAACTGGTGAATATAATAGAATCAGGGGCATAGAAAGGGAGTGGACTGACAATTCTCAGGGGGAAAAGGGTGTGGGGGGCTTGGAAAGAGACTGGACAAAAATCGTACACCTATGGATGAGGACAGTGGGGAGTAAAGGCAGAAGGTGGGGTAGGAACAGGGTGGAGGGGAGCTATGGGGGAAAAACGAACAGTCGTAATAATCTGAACAATAAAGATTTATTAAATTAAAAAAAATAAACACAAAGTGTGAGCATCGTCCAAGCCACAGAATATCAAAAGGCACTAATAATAAGAGGGACTACTGCTGCTTTCCCCACTGCAGTGGGAGCTTTGCTGCCCTCCCTGTGGATAAGACTCACTGAGCTATTCGATCCTAGAGTTGTCATTGACTTTAGCACCCAATCTAGAATAAACCCTGCTGCCTTTGGTTCTCCCCAAATCACCCAACCAAACTCAAGTCTTATAAGTCATTTTTAACACTCTCTTATGGAAGCATGCTCTGGGCCCTGTGGTTCTCCTTCACTGGCTGAGCAATAAACATACTTGTTAAAAAAAAAGTTTAAAGTCTACTCACAATTCATCTTTTTTACATTAAGCCTGATACTCAGTAGAGAGAAGCTCTCAAGAGAGAGCTGGGCCAGATCTGTCATTTTCACAGCCACAGTTGTCATTTCTGGAATTCATCACAGTCTCAGGCACATGGTAAGGCACCAATAAAATAATACAGTAATAAATTCACCCGTTAAACAACTATGTACCAAGAACTACATTAGATAACTTCATATTCATTCCCTGAACCCTCACAACAGCATTATGAGGTGAATATATTTACTCCCTTTTTCTCTTATTACATAACTTGGGCTCGGAGGGACCACAGAACTGGAATTCAAAGACAGGTTCTCAAGTTCCTGGGAAATTTTAAAATGACCATATTATACAGTTTCCACCATAATGAAATACACCCTTATAGTGACTGATTAAAATAATTAAATAAAAACAGAATTTTAAAGAACCTAAAACAGAACTTGCCTGTTCACAAACTTTCCTTACCTGTGATGTTAAGATGTCACAACTTCTCAGTAGATAAGTTGGATAAAAACACTTTTCTGAGTGGTCTCAGGATCTACAAGATAAAGATCTTCACTTAGCTATGAAGTCAGGTATTTTACAGATTAAGCATTAAAAGTATCTTTTTATAAGTTAAGCTGCAACCCAATGATAGCACTTTTATTTTTTTTATTTTATTTTTTA